GAATTGATAAGTCTAAAAAGAGATATGGGTTGAATTAAAAAGATTGAGTCGTGGTTAAATATCTTGATATCATAATTATACTGTTTTTAAAAAGATATTCCATAACATTTGGTTCCATAATAATACTGCTTTCAAATATAATTGATTCCAAATAGCCAGATTTAGTGTTTAATTAAATGTTATGGAATATCTTTTTAAAAATATCTAATTATTAATTTATTTTTTGTTTCTTATTTATATTTTATTTTTATTATTGTCAATTGACAATATTATGTTTGATCACATTGTGCACGCAAATATTTTTTTAGATATAAAGTTGTAAACTTAATAAATATCTTTTGTGGTTCACATTCCATATAAACAAAATAAGAGCATTTACAATGCATAAATGTTTACAACTTTAAATCTAAAAAAATATTTGCGTGCACAATGTGAACAAACATAATATTGTCAATTGACAAAAATAAAAATAAAATATAAATAAGAAACAATGAACATTTGTCTAAATTTATGTGATAACAACATTTATGCATTGTAAATGCTCTTATTTTGTTTTAAATAATTTCAAATATACTTCTATCCATTGCAAATAAAATTCATACTATTTAAATTCGAACATTTCGAACCAAAAATAAATCACCCACTTTATACCACAAAATCAGTCATTTATTATTAACAGCACATTTTCTATGAAAAAATAAAAATGGCTACCAGATACTTAAAATAAAATCATCAACTTTATACCAAAATTGGATTTATTAATTTTGTCAACTTTATACCATAAATTAATTTAGTATTTTCTAAAAGTCATTTCTACATTTTGTCCAAAATATTTTTTAGCGGCACATAAATGTTATTTATATTTTCGTATTTGGTTATCTTGTCTGCAAAGAAAAATATAATCTTGCAACTCTACTATGCCAACAAAAAGATGTATGGAAAATAACGTAAGTATTAATTTGTTATGTGTTACTCAATACAGGATAATATATATATAAATATTAACGATTAATTCTCTATAATTGCTCAATCAAGTCTATATATTTAAACTAAAGAAAGTATCTATAATACTCACATATTTGTTTCCATAAAACTAAAGCATCTAAATTTAAATTCAACTACCGAAGGTAATAACCATAAATATTTGACTAAAAAGATTATGTACATTAATTAAATTATTTTTTGGTAATTTATTATTTTTAGACAATAATTAATGAAATTGGCGGGAAAGTTTTTCTAAAAGTGAATTATGTTAATCCTTATTATATATTAATAGATTACACGATTTACAACATTGATAACACTTTATTTATATAGAAAGTCGTTCTATTAACCTAATTACATGATTTACAACATGTAGGTATGATTTGATTTTGATTTTATTATTTATAAATGTTAAATAATTCTATTAACCTAATTACATGATTTACAACATGTATGTATAATTTATTTTTTATTTTTATTATTTATAAATCTTAAAATAATTTTTGAACAAATCTATAGACCATAAATGATTTAAAATTTACTAAACAAATTTACAATCACGCGGAGAAAAGATCTCATGTAAAATTTGAAATTCAAATCGAATTTCTACTGTAACATTAAAAAATTGATCATGATTTTTAGCTAGATTTTCAAACTAATGTGTGGATCATAAATGATTTTAAATCTTCAAATTTAATTTTTTAAGCAAATGATCACAAATATAAATTTCCAACAACATTTCTATAATTGGTAAGTCAAAACTTTGACTCATGTTTGTAGCTTTCCATAATTGATTTTTCCATTAACCCTTTCAATTTATATAGATTATTATTTTATTTTAAACTTTGTTGTCATATAATATCATTGTTATTTATAAAAATTATGGAAGTTATACATCTTATTTTTTTTTTATGTAATGAAAAATATTTAATGCACGTTAGTATTATTTATTTATGTAATCAATTTAAAATATGTAAATAAATTTAAAATTAAATAGTGTATAAATATTTTACAAAATATACACACGTGTTTTTTTTTAATTAATTTTTTTATACTAATTAAACAACCTTGATTTAGGAAATGACAAACCTCAATCTTTTCTATAATCAAGATTTTCCTAGTTTGCATTATAGGGATTTATTTTTTATTTAGCATACTTTGCAATGAAAATATATTTTACAATATTTTCATTATTCGAAGAAATCAAAATAAAACAAATGATGGTTGCCAATAATATATACTTAAATTCTAAAGAACAAATAATATATTTCAATTTTAATTTTTGACCATTAGTAAAATTATTTAATATAGCTGGTCATTATCTCTTAAAGGATAAATTATATATAATGAAATAAAGCTTAAGAAAAAATTATACGGACAAAGATTAATTCACCAACTTGATTTTGTCTGATTAAATGGAAGATAAAATTCTATCTAACATGTTACGACAATTTGTAATTATTATTTTTTGAATAAAAAGTGAATATTTGTAAAAAAATTAATAATATTATGGTTTGAACTTAAATATGTTGTAATATTTATATTGACCGAAATAGCATCAACATGAATCAAATAAAACCAATATTGTAATTTATTGTAATGAATATCAATGAAATTATCGCAGATATTAATAAAATTATTTAAGAAAACAATATTTTTATCATATCTGATTTGATCTTATTTGAAAAAGTGTATTTTGAAGCAATTAATGCATTTATTTAAAAAGTTTCCCAAAAAAGGGTGTGCATTAAATGTTACAAAAAAAAAAAATTTACTATTATTTTTAGTAAATGGTTATCCTTATTTTATATATATATATATATATATATATATATATATATTTATATATATTTAAAGA